CTTCGGTCATTCTTAAACAACATTATAAACGTGCACAATAGTATTGATCATGAGAGGAATCTTGCTTTACCATCGTATGTAGGTCGGAGTAAGAGAAGTATTTTCACCTTCCTCAAGGATATGCTTAGTGTTAAATTATTAAAAATCAGTTAAAATCTATTCTTATCAACTTGTATTTGAATTTTAAATTTAAGTTTTCTTGAATTATATTGTAACCGGATAAGGGTGGAATTGAGTTTGTGTACAAGATCATCACTTGCACGAGAAAATAGGATCTGTGATTGTAAATTAGTTTATTTTAAGCCATGCAAACATTAATGAAATCGTAGCCCTTTTTCTTGCATCATCTTCTCAAAATCTTACTTTCTTTTTCTACAAAAGCTACGTAATTAGTTTTTACAAGCAGCAATTTTTCACGTAAAAATATTATATGGTATCAGAGCTTCTTGTCTCGAGGGATTCGTGAAAAGAATAAAGCCTATCCATCAATCCAAAAATCTCAAAAACCCATTACAAAAATGGCAACCTGTTCTGGCTCATCTGCACCTCCACATTTCAATGGTGAAAATTACCATGTTTGGGCGCTGAAGATGGAGATCTATTTGCAATCACTAAACTTCTAGGATGCGGTTCTCAATGACACCGAGCCACCTCCACTGCGGGACACGACGTCCTTAACCCAGATTAAAAGGCATGAAAAGGAGGTTATGAAAAGGCCTCATGCGCTTACCTGCATTCACTCGGCAGTCTCAGATGCGGTATTTAGTAGGATCATGCCCTATAAAATCCCTAAGTCGGCCTGGGACAAAATCAGAGAAGAATTTGAAGGTGGTACCAGAAACAGAATAACACAGTTGCTAAAATTGAAAGGAGAATTTACGATGTTGCGAATGAGAGAAGATGAAACAGTAAGATAGTATTCAACAAAGCTGATGGATGTTGTGAATAAGATAAGGCTACTGGGAGAGAACTTTCTTAACTCACGGGTGGTAGAACATATCCTAATTAGTTTATCAGCTCGATTTGAGTCCAAAATCTCTGTATTGAAGGAGCTGAATGATACTGATACCATCACTGCAACTGAGCTTATCAATAAGTTGGATTCGCAGGAGCAGCGAACCAATATGAGGGAAACCAATTACACAGAAGGAGCCTTGTTCATAAGAGCCAAAGCTGGAATTAAGAACAAAGGAAAGCAAAATGGAGAGAAAAGCTCAACCGGGAAAAAACAAGGAAACCAAAATAGAGGTAAGCAATCAAAATTTCTCCTTACAAAATTTGCACCTTGACTAACCATCTAGAAAAGGATTGTTGGTATAAGGACAAGAAGGCAATTTAGTGCCACTTCTGTAAAAGGCTTGGCCACAAAGAAAAAAATCGTAGGCTGAAGCAGAAGCAGAATGAAGGCCAACCTAAAGGAGAACCTCAGCAAATAAACATCATCGAAGCAACTGGTGAAGTCTCGCCAAACTTGTATGTGGCCTCAAATAAAGTAATAGACAAAGATGACACAAAATGGATTGTTGACAGTGAGTGTACATCCCATATGTGCAAGAACGAGTCCATGTTCACCTATCTAAACAAAGCTCTGAAAGACAAAGTGAGATTGGAAAATGGCAAGTTCGATAATGCAGAAGGTAAGGGCACTGTCTCTGTGAATACACACCTAGGTACACGACATATTACTCATGTGCTTTTTGTATCTACATTAAAGCAAAATTTGTTAAGTGTGAATCAAATGACAAATAATGGGTATAAGGTTCTTTTTGAGAGCAAATGCTGCAGGATTTATGATCCTGATGGGAAGCAGATCGAAATAGCACCAAAGATTAATCAGAATTACCTGCTGTGCATGAAGAGGCTAGCACACATGGCCTGCTATACTAGTGCAAATGAGGGTGAAATTTGGCACAGAAAGTTTGGACATTATCATTTGTTCGGCTTGAAGAAGTTGCAAATTGAGAACTTGAGTCTCAATCCCCCTTCACTTAGTGAAACCAACACTGTCTGCGCTGTATGCCAAATGAGCAAGATACATAGAACACCATTTCCTGCACAAGCCAGCACACAAGCAACAGAAAAACTTCAACTTGTTCACTCTGATATTTGCGGGCCAATGAGCCAAGACTCCTTAAATGGGGGCAGGTATTTCTCCCTTTTTATTGACGATCAGACATGGAAGGCTTGGGTTTACTTTCTAAAAAATAAAGCAGAAGTGTTTGGTAAGTTTAAAAAGTTTAAATTGATTGCAGAAAAGGAAAATGGGTGTTTGCTCAAAATGTTAAGAACTAATAATGCATTTGAGTATAATTCACAAGAATTCATGAATTTTTGTAGCTTTTAAGGGATCAAAAGACAACTTACTGCCCCCTGCTCACTACAGCAAAACGGCGTTGCTGAAAGGAAGAACAAAAATGTAGTGGAAACGAGGAGATGTCTGATGAATGACAAACACTTGTCCAAGCAGTTCTGGGCTGAAGCAGTAAACACATCTGTTTACTTGCTTAATCAGTTACCCACTCGTGCCTTAGAGAAGATGACTCCATTTGAAGCTTGACATGACAGAAAACCCAAGACTACCCACATTAGGATCTTTGGCTCAGTCTGTTACAGCCTAATTTCTGATGAAAAAAATAGAGTTAGATGACAAGGGAGAGCTTGGAATTCTCCTCGGCTATAGTACAGAAACAAAGGAGTACCGGGTGTATATGCTGAGCTCCAAAAAGCTTATGATTAGGAGAGATGTCATGATAGATGAAGGCTCACACTGGAATTAGGTAGAAGAAAAAATAAAATGTGATGAGGTAGGAAAACTGGTGATAGGAGGAGATGAATCTGTACCAGCTTCATTCCCTTTTGAATTGGAAAATGATGAGGAAGTTAGAGATGATGGAAGTGCTGATGGAGTTAGGATGAGAAGTCTCTCTAAGATATACGAATAATGCAATTTTGCCTTCAAAGAACCTGCAACCTATCAAGAGGCAACCACACATTCCTCTTGGAAGGATTCTATGATGGAAGAGATTGCTATGATCACAAAGAACAAAACCTAGACTTTGATCCCTAAACTAGAAGACAAGAAGATAATCGGTGTCAAGTGGATTTACAGACTCAAGTTAAATCCCGATGGCTCTGTAAATCGGCACAAAGCTAGGCTGGTGGTGAAGGAATATGCCCAGACTACAGGAGTTGACTTTGGGGACACTTTCGCTCAAGTTACAAGACATGAAACCATCAGAATGATCCTGGTAGTAGCAGCGCATTCACAGTGGTAGGTTATGCACCTAGACGTCAAGTCTGTATCCCTAAATGGTGATCTCCAAGAAGAAATTTATGTTGATCAACCGGATGGATTCACTGTTGGGGAAAAAGAGGATCATGTTTATCTGCTATATAAGGCTCTGTATGGCCTTAAGCAAGCTCTACGAGCTTGGTACCAGAAGCTGGACGAGTACCCACTGTATTGTGGATTTAAAAGGAGTAAGGTAGAAACAACACTACATGCAAAACATGATGAAAAAGGCTGGAATATGATCACTGCCATTTATGTGGATGACATACT